GAAGATGGAGCCAAACTTTAAAACATGTGCAGTCAAGGAAAAGTGTTTTAAGGATTCCTGACATGCTCAGAAGACATGGAATCAAATAGGAGAGGGAATGAGAAGTCATATTTGGAAAGAAGAAGGATCAGGGAATCAGTCGTAGACTAGAAGTCAATAGAAAGAGAGAAACATCAGAAAGAGAGGGAGTAAAAATGGTGATGCATAAAGACAATAAGACTGAGATTTTGTATGAAATCCTGACATTCTTGAAAAAAACTGCTAAGTTGCTGAGCAGAATGGAACAAAGGAAGATAGGAGAGCTTAGAATGGAAAAAATTTTGAGATTTCAAAAATATTCCTGTTCTGCCTCTGGATGAAATAGAAAGCTTCTCCCATTTTTCAAGAAAACGCTGACACACACCAAGACCCCAAAGTAGCCAATAGACCAGTAATTAAGGCACTTACCTGTAGGGTGACCACCCTTTTCCAAATTGGAAGGTAGGACACATGCCTGCCTTGCTGCCCCCCTTTTCCCCGCTTCCCCCGTTGTCACATCGTCAGCTTGGCTAGACCAGAGCCACATGGGGTAGGGGCAAGGGCAAATGCATGCTGCCCACTGCAGGCTCAGGACTCCCTGTCCTGCTGCCCATCCCTGGGATCCCTATGCCAGCTGCATGTCCATGTCTGCCTGGCAGCAATGGGAAGCACAACTGCATTCTGTCACTGCTCCAGCTGCTGCCAGATGGGCAGGGTGTGTGTCGCTATGGCATTGTGGGGCTCCTGGGGAAAGGGCAGCAGGGCGAGGAACCCCAGGGCTACAGCAGGCAGCCTGCATCCTTGCTCCCACCCTGTGCACAGATCTCAGGGGGCACATGCCTTCACCCCAGGGGCGAACACGCACCAGTGGAGAGCTGCTGTTCCCCATACCTCCTGGATGAACCACCCATGGCTCTGTCCCACTCCCTACCCCAGCCCTGGGGCCCCATGCACTGCCCTGGCTGGGCATCACCCTCAGCCCCTACCCCACTCCTTCCCTTACTGTGCCCCTCCCATTCCCCCTTCACCCCCCCATAGACTTACCTGCAGGGTACTGCTCTCCAGGCTGCCAGGCTCTTTCCTGGCCACGTGCATGTGCAGGTGCGCAGATGCACATGATGGCCCCTCTGTCCCACTCCCAGCAGCCCCTTGTAGGCTGGAATGCTGCCAGTCTGCACGGGGAAACCCAGATCCCTGCACAATGCAGCAACGCTGGGATAAATGCTGTCCCGGAGTTGTGCAGCCCAGGACCGGGACTTGATTCCATTCTGGGACTGTCCTGCCCAATTAGGGATAGGGTGGTCACCCTACTTACCTGGTATGTGTGAGATTTGTGTTTAAATCCTTGATTTGCCAGATTCAGAGAAGGGGCTTTAACCTGAGTAGTCTATATCCCTGGTGAGTGCCTAATCAATCAATCAAGTGCCATCATTGCCAAGAAGGGTTAGCAACACTACGCATAAATGCTCTCCACTTGGTTCTGTCTGTTGTCAGCCTTGCCTACTCCCTATATATGTAATCTAGTCCATTATTCCACGTCTTAATACCACCTCTTCCCTGGCATGTAACTGTCTATTATAGCCTTTTCTGGTCTATCCCCTTTTGTTCCTAGAAAGTTTCCATGGTACTTCAGTTTCTCCTTTTTCACCATTTACATGAGTTCAGGCTTGGTTATTCTGAGGAGACTCCAGGCTGTGGCACAAGTTACTTTAAAAACACCATAAAGGCACTTAAAATGAGAGCAGTCATTAGTTAAGCGATTTTAAACTGCCACAAGTACCCTCTAAACATTTTAAAGATAAGCCACTCAAAAGGAGGTTTATCCTGGAAATATTTACCCCTGCTATTTTAGGACGTTGTTTGAATGGTCAGGGGAGGTAAAATGCTTTCATTTGTCCATGTACAGCTCCCAGCCACTCTACCCCTTTCTACTCTACTGGTTCCTGCCCTCACTCCCCCCGCCCTCCCACTCCTGGCTGAGAGCAACTTCTCTGAGCCTAACTGAAGACACATCGTGGAGCCAGGAAGCCTGTTTTTTCTAGCTACATGGTTTGTGGGAAGCTCAATTTCAACCTCAGCAGAGAGCCCCAAGGAGCCTGCTTCTTCTGGGCTCCGTCCTCTGGCCAGTGCCCTAAGTGCAGAGCAGCCGCATCTGATTCAACCCTAGCATAGAGGAAGAAGCAGCTTCCCCCAGGCTCTGTGCTTGGGCTGAAATAGATGCGGCTGCTGAGCACTGAAAGTGGCTTAACACCTATGGGACCTTGGCTCTGGGCATGATTTTTTGGTCCCAGGGTCTCGCCACCTGGGCCAGAACAGCTTCCCCACTCCCAGCCAGCATGAACCCTGTAGCTCCTAACTCGACTCTTCCCTCAAACCCAATCCCCATTATGAAATGCATATGAGATTTTAGTCCTTTATTTTTCGGTTGATCTCCCTCCCCCCACCCCTTTCTGTTTATTTCCCCTCTCCACCCCCTCCGTGCCTCACTTCAAACAGTTTTTCAAGATTTATCCCCTCCCACCCTCTGCTCTGGCTGGAGTCTTGCTGGATACAGAGGGAAAGAAGACCCCATGCTAGTTGCTCTGCCTCCAAGCTACATGTCATGTGCCCCTCTCCTCTCCTACCATGAGAGGGATAGAGTCTGGGCACCTGTTCACTCCCCTGCTTACAAACCACCTAGGCTAGGGACAGAAATTGCACATAAACCGGTTTAAGTGATCAGAAGCTGATTTAAACCCGTAACAGAACATAAGTGCATGTAAATCAGTTTCAAAATGGTCAAGACTGTTTTAAGATGAATCTAGTTAATTGTAGTATTGGACTGAACTGATTTGGGTCAAACCAGTTTATGGAACATCTGTGCCAGACTCCTTCCTGATCTAAGTTAAATTAGAGTCCCCCAGCATCCCAGCATGCTTTTCAGTCCTTGACTAAGCTGGGCTATCTGCTCCAGAGAGCAGGGCTAGTCCCACCCCCTCTGCGTCCTAGCCGGGTAACAGCAGCATCTGCCTGGCTTTCCCCTGCCCCACCCTCTGCTGCTTGCTGTTCAAGCAGGGATACCCCCCTCTCCCATAGCAGGGACTCCAGCTGCATGGATCCCAACCCCCATGCTAGCTAGTGTTGAGAGGGGTCTGTGTGTGTCTCTCCAATTTCACTGGAACCAAGGCAGACAGGACAGTGTCCACTTAGGGCTTTTTTGGAACTAATCAGCAGGTTAGCTGGTAGTGTGCCTCTGTTCCTTCCTTGGAAAAAGTTGTTTAAGAAGAGCTTAAACTAATGAGACCGGCTTTGTTTTCTTGATGGACTGATGAGCTGCCTGCTGGCTTGCTTGCTTCAAAGGCTGCAATCTGTCAGTGTTCAAGAGGGGACAGAGAGAGGTATGAGAAATGACCTGTTTTGCAATGCCTGGGATTTGTGAGTGCTGTCAGATTGCTGCAGGTAATATGAAGAAGCAGAGAGAGGGAGACTGAATAGTATAGTGACATCAGCAGATGCACACACACCCCTTTGCCTCAGAGTGCTAGCTGGGGGCTGGGATCTGGCAACACTCCCACACCTTAACTAGTGAGCCCAGGAAAGCCTGGTGAGGACTGCTTCTCCCTCCCCCTCAGGCTGGGGACTGTGCAGGCCACGGTGGGGGTTTAAACCCCTCCGTAATCATAACGTCCTGCCAGGGGCTGGCCATGTGCCCCCTCAGCTCAGCAGTGTGGAATGGAAGGGAGGGCTGCTCTAGCACCCCCAGCTTCTAGTCTGAGCCACTGCAGGCATGTGCCCGCATTTCTTCAGTCCAGAGGAAATGTTTGTGCAGTTGCAACCTGATTCAATCTAGTCAGATTAGACTAACCTGCAGCAAATAAATCAATTCAAGCTTAGGCTTTTTGAATGTCTGTCCCTAGCCACAGTGGCAAGTCCGTTGTGCTTGTCTGAAACAACATGAAGCCTTTACCTGTTTTAAAAACACCATAATTTTATGACATCGCAACATTCCACATATTTCTGAAATTATACAGGTAACCTGTGCCAAAGCCCTCAGTCTCTTGTTGGAGCTTTTCTAGTGCAGTATAAATAATTATTTACTGCTCAATCATTCACTTTAAGACTCTAGGTTAAAACCAGAGAAGCCAAAAGTTGGTTTTGGCAAATTTGGCATTTTCTAATGAAAAAATGTTTCATCGAAAAAATTCCTGGCTAAGTCTAACAGGGGTTTATTAGTATGTGATCTAGAGAAAAGCTTTTGTTTGATGTCAGTCAAGAATGGGTAAGGGAACTGGTAGAAGTATGTGGCAGAGCTAAGGAGGAGGGGGTTAAGTGACCAGGAAATATAGGAAGTCAGGTTTCTGTAGACACTTGCTAGATCAGAGTGATGTGGCATGCATGCTTCAAGTAAGGAATGAGAGAGTCTGGTACTGCACACATTCAGAAGTCATTCAGTTAACTATGTATGAGCAGTGCTGAGTAGTTTAAAGGGCCACATTTTAAACGAACTATAAATGCCAGAGCTCAGGAAAATGCATTAACAATAAGGAAACAGGAGGTTAAAGAACAAAACAAAAAGCTACCTCCCTTGCACTGCAAATTAGGTAAAATTTCCACGCAGGAAAAAGTAATATCCTACATAGGTGATTAACGTAACTACTTTGGAGTGAAGGGATCTTAATCAGAAAATAGCATGGTTTATTAGTAAAAATTGCTGCAGAAAGGAAATTGGTTGATAGAGAGTTCGCCTAGAAATATCTCAGTTCTAATGCCTGCTTTTAGCCCCAGATGATGCTAATACAAATAAGTGAAGAGCAAAGCTTTGAAACAAGTTAGGGAAACTATATGTCACTATTGTTACCAGCTTTGGTTTCCCTACTATGCAATGGAAGCTCTAAGTCTATTGGTACTAAAGGGATTAAATAGGTTACTAGGGAAACAGATTTTTGTCAGCAGAGTACAGTTAGCTTTTATAGTTCATTTAATTTTTAATATGCGTTTTGCAGACAGATATATTGCATAGAAAATGCACATGGACAGCTGGTACGGGACCTAGATTTTAATCCCAATAAACAGTACTACCTGGCTAGTTGTGGCGATGACTGCAAGGTGAAATTCTGGGACACTAGGAACATCAATGAGCCAGTGAAGACACTAGAGGAGCATTCCCACTGGTAGGGTGAATTATCTGCATGATGTTTTGTGGGTGGATGGTTTATGTAATTTATTCAGCTAATTATTTTACTGTTTAGAAACAATGCTAGCTAGCTATGTTTATGCTGTTGTGAATAATATTTTTTCTGCATGGAGGAGTGGGATTTAACATGTGGATGTTATTTGTGTGTCTTGTAAATTAAGAGTGGGGGAATGTTAATCTAGTTCCTAGCAAGATATTGACAATGCCATCTCAAAGATGGGAGACAGTGCACAGCACAGAACTTGAAAACAGAGGAAGAGGGTTCACCTTTGTCCCTTTCTAATTCTGGGCTGAACTACAGCTCCTAGCATAAACAGCCTTAAAGTTACAGCATCCTCCCTGTTCTTTCCATAGCAACGTTGTGTAGCAGTTACGTGTTGCTACCCCACCCCACCATACTCCTCATCCTTTAAGCTTGTACATGCAAAAGGGTAGAGGTCGTTTTTGGTCATTTTGCCTTTTGAGGGAATGTTCTCTCTTGACTTGAACCAGGACTTTCCAAGCTACTTTAATTTGATCTGGCCCAGTGCCCGTTCAGAAAGGATGGAAACAAAGTGAAATCTGATCTATAGGTTTTTTGAAGGGATTAATCGGTCCATTTTGAAAGCACCCTTCTATAAATTGGGAAAGCCAAGCCATTCATATTTTGTGGGATACAGCTTGCAGAATCTCTTGCAAAATAAATCTGGACCCTGAAGCCAGGTTGACAGTGGTGTGAATATGAGAATGAATAGAAGCAACATTTTCATTTTTTGAGAAGATTAAAACAAAAATAATAGAACACAAGAAAGATCACAAGACATTTGGTATTAACTTGATATACGGAATGTAAAAACTGGGGAGAAACCTAATCTTCCTTTTTTTTTTTAGGATCTATTTTAACTTTTCACTGTGAGAATGTTGAGAAGTTTTCCTTAAACTAACAGGTTATTTTTAATTCATATGTTGTTTTGGGGAATTTTTTTAATATTTAGAAATGTTAAAATATCCTTGACACAGAAGGATAAGCAAACATTTATTCTGGAGGAATTATTTCAGAGTTGAGTCTTCCTCCCCTCCACATTTCCCTCTATTCCCCATCCCCATACACATTTGTTCAATGTAAAAGGTATGCCCTTAGCAAATCAAAAAAGTTGGGAGCATAAAATCTAAATAAAATAGCAAAAAATAATCTGTAGAATGAAGGGTATCTGTTCTACCCATAATTAACAAATTAGATAAAACTCAAGGAATTTTTTCCATATTTACATTGAAATGATTTTCATTCTAACTTCAACTCAAAGTAATTTAGATAGTTCAGCATACATATTTACTGCCTGTATAGAGAAGCCTCTTGTAATATTACTTTTTATTTTAGGGTATGGAATGTCCGCTACAATCATTCTCATGATCAGTTAGTCCTTACTGGCAGCAGTGATAGCAGAGTCATATTGTCTAACATGGTATCAATTTCTTCCGAACCCTTTGGACACCTGGTAGATGATGATGAACTTAGCGACCAAGAGGACCACCATCAGGAAGAGAAGTATGAAATTCATTAGTTTTCAAATAAGTATTTTTCATTACAAGCTCTTATTTTAATGATTAACATGCTATTCTTCAGTGACTTCAGGATCTTTGTATATACCCCTTGCAGGTATGTAGTTGTTCTTTCTGTTCAGCTCAAACTGCTGCATCACTGGCTGGTATGGGATCCACTTGTCTGAAAAACTAATTAACACAGTTGTAGGTGTATTTTCACTGGTGTAAGTGGGATGATGACACTGAGGGCCTGAACCAACACAGGAAGTCAGGGGAAAGGCTTCTGTTGACTAATAAACATTGGATCAAGTCCAGAGCCCACATTTTATAATATTTATTATATGAACTTTAGGAGTATTCTTTGCTGCATCAAGTTTCTTCCATTCTTTCTTCCATAATTTTTTGGCAAGTTTAACTCTCTATAGTAGATCTTCCATACACAAGCATGAAACACATATTTTTAATTACTAACTGATACCTTTTTTACTTGCAGTCTTAACTCATGATCTCTTTTAGAAAATTATTTGTATGTATTATATGTGTGACCTATTTCACTTATTAGTTGTTGAAACCGTTAAACAAAAGCCTCTTTCCAGTCCTTTATGGTGTTATGGTTAGCTTTTGTTCACTCCACCCTGATGTGTAATAAGCAGGGATCCTGGTTTTCTCTTATTAAAAATTGCAAATTCTCTGATTAAAAACCCAAAGTCCGTGATAAAAATTAAAGACCCCCAAAGACCTGCTGGTGCCCCGCACTCCCCCCCCCCAGCCTAAACAGCCCTCTCCTGATGCCCCTCACAACAGCCTCCCAGACGCAGACACAGAGGCACACACAGACACTGACACCCACCCCAGCAGGTAAGTGTGTGTGGGGGGGAAAGGGTGGAGCAGGGTGGGGGGAAGGGAAGGTGCTGGGGAGGTAGATCAAGAAGCGGGGGAGTGTACCCCTGTGCCCACTCCCAGGAGCAGGGCCAGGGGCTGAGGGCAGGGGTGACACTCTGCGGGTCACACATGCACTGGCTGGCCTGACAGGAAGTTTGCACGTGGAGGGCACCACCGCACCTCTGCCACTGCACCCTGCTCTACCATCCCATGGCCACCCGCACGGCTTTGTGGCAAGTGTCACAGGGTGCGGCAGCAGAAGTGTGGTGGCAACCACCATGTGTGGGCCACATACGTGCCGCCTGGCTGGGGGGTGGAAAGGGGGCTTGCATGCAGTGGCCACAACTGCACCTCTGCTTATGCCCCACGACCGGCTGCATGGCGCCGCAGTGGTGCGGGGTGGTGGCGGCTGCGTGCTGGCTGTGGGGTTTGGCAGGGCTTTGCGGGCAAGTGCTGCCACTGCGGAGCCATGCCCTTCACCCCTGGATCCTAGAGGTAAGTGGGGCTTGAGGGCTGGGGAAGGTGGCTGGGGGCTGAGGGAGCGGGGGGTGCTGCTGGCCCCAGGTGGCACGCCGCATCCAGGTGCAGGGCCGGGGGGTAAGGGCAGGGGTGCCCCTCTGCGGGGGTCTTTACTGTAAGTGATGTGGGGCATGCATGCCGCCTTGCCAGCTACCCATGGGAGGGAGAGATTTGCATGCAGGTGGCTGCACAGCTCTGTGGCTGGCTCTGCACCAGCGGCGAGGGATGGTGGCTGGGAGACGGGGGGGGGCATGGGGCTTATACAAGATGCACAGTCCCAAAGGTAAGCGGCAGCAGCTGCTGTGTACCAGCGGTGACACCCGCCGCGTACCAAAACC